TTCCAGCTCAGAACCCACAGCTTCCGGGAGGTTTTCCCTATGGTAACTCCACCCGCGCTCCCTGGACCCAAATGCTGTAACTTGGGTATTTCCTGCTATGGTATGCGGATTTCCGCGGATAATGCTCTGCCTCCTTTCCCAGCTCGATTACATCGATTCTGGAGAAGCCAGGGTTCCTTGCGAGGAGAGCCCGCTCTTTCGAAACGAGGTTGGGGATAGCGATCAGCACCCGGGAGGACGAGAGGAGATCCAACTAGGGGTGCTCCCGAGGAGCGGGCGCCTCGCGCTGCCCGGCAGGCCCGGGACCCCGGAGCTCGTCGCCGGCAGAGGCGGCCGCGCGGACTCCCCCCTCCCCATCGGCCTTCGGCCAGTCCCGCGGGCCCGGCGCTCACTCACTGGGCAGCAGGCGGCGGCCGAGGTGCGGACAGTAATCGCAGCGGAGGCCTCCAGGCCCGGAATCCCCTCCACCGAGACTTGACCGGGACTCGGCGGGCGGAGCCTCGGGATTGGACGGCCTTGACAGTGATTCCAAGGCTTAGCCAATCAGCGCAGCCCTTGGCTTCCTGAAAGACGCCCCTCTCCTGCCCGAGGCCTAGTGTACTGTGTCCCGCCAGGTGCCCGGGAGAGAATGGCGAGATCAAAGAGGCAAATTCAAACCAACAGCGGCTCAGCTGTGAGGTTTTGAGGGGACGAAGAGGCCTCAGTGAGGTTTGTAAGTGACCCATGTATGAGAGAAATCCCTGCTCCCGCGCCCAGCTGAGCTTCTAAAGAGTTTAAGGAGCCATCTCCTTACTCTCCAGAAGTGGTGTCAACCACACTGTTGGGTCTGTTTTCCAGAAAAGAATGTCTGATGAGAGGTTGTCACTTAAACATATGATCCACAGTTGCATTTTTTTTTTAAGTATAGTTGACACACAATGTTACATTACATGCAGGTGTATATCGTGATTGACAAGTCTATATACCGTGCTCCCCACAAATGGACCCGCCATCTGCCCCATACAACCGGATTACAATACCATTGACTATATTCCCTAGGCTGTCCCTTTCATCCTCGTGACTTCTCATCCCATAACTGGGAGCCTGTGTCTCCCTCTCCCCTTCACCCATTTTGCCCATCCCCTTACCCCCCCTCCCATCTGGCAACCATTGGTTTCTTCTCTACTTATGGGTCTGTTTTTACTTTTGTTCGTGTATTCATTTGTTTTTTAGATCCCACATATAAGTAAAATCATATGATATTTGTCTTTGACCTGTCTCACTTAGCATCATACCTTCTACCTCCATCCACACTGTTACAAATCTCACAATCTCATTATGGATGAGTAATATTCCAGTGTGTGTGTGTGTGTGTGTGTGTGTGTGTGTGTGTGTGTACCACATCTTTTTGTCCATTCATCTGTCAGTGGATACTTGAGTTGCTTTCATATCTTGGCTATTGTAAATAATGCTGCAGTAAACATAGGGGTGAATATATCTTTTTGAATCAGTGTTTTTATTTTCTTTGGGGAAATACCCAATAGTGTAATTACTGGATCATATGGTAATTCAGTTTTTAATTTTTTGAGGAACCTGCATACTCTTTTCTACAGTGGCTATACCAGTTTGCATTCCCACAGTGGCTATAACAGTGCATGAGAGTTCCTTTTTCTCCACATTCTTGCAAACACTTACTTCTTTTGTTTTTGATTCTAGCCATTCTTACTAGTGTAAGATGATATCTCATTGTGGTTTTGATTTTCATGGTTTTGATTTCCCTTGATTAGTGATGTTGAGTGTCTTTTCACATGTCTGTTGGTCATCCGTATGTCTGCTTTGGAAAAATGTCTGTTCAGGTCATCTGCCCATTTTTGATTGGACTGTTTGTGTCTTTTGGCGTTGAGTTGTATACATTCTTTTTATATTTTGAATATTAACTGCTTATCAGATATATCATTTGCAAATATCTTCTCCCATTCAGTAGGTTGCCTTTTTATTTTGCTGATGATTTCCTTTGCCATGCAAAAGCTTTTTACTTTGGAGTAGTCCCAGTAGTTTGTTTTCTTTTGTTTCCCTTGTTAAGGCCAATGTCAAATAAATCACTGTCTATGTTTTCTTCTAGGAGTTTTATGGTTTCATCTCTCACATTTAGGTCTGTAATCCATTTTGAGTTTATCTTTGTGTATGGTGTAAGAAAGTAGCCTGGTTTCGTCGCTGTCCTAGCTACATTTGTTGAAGAGACTTTGATTTCCCCATTGTATTTTCTTGCCTCCTTTGTGGATTAATTGGCCACATAAATGTGGGGTTTATTTCTGGGCTGTCTATCCTGTCACTGCACAATAGTATGGTACTGCACAATAATAGACACAAAGCTCCCTGTTCCCTGTGAGTAAGCACCAAACCAACCTCCTAGGCTTGCCTTAATGCTGTCAGCACTGACCCTTAGTATTCTGGAGCTTGGGTCCTACATTCCAGATGCTGTTTGTTGAATGGCTGGATGGGGAAATCTTACCAGCATTCATGTTCCCAACTGTGGGAGCGGGTGTGTTGTCAAGGTATCCTTTGTGCCACAGGAGCAAAGCCATATGGAACCTCGATTCTTTAAGGCAGGATATCAACTGATGAAAGAAGCAGGGAATAGTATTTGAGTGCAGAGACCCTAGCATAAGGACCCCTAGATTCTATGTCAAACTCTGTCACCATCGCTTCCATAAATCTCTAAAACTATATTATCTCTACAATAGGACTAAAAGCCTTCGAACTTATTGGACTGTGAGGACTAAATGACATAATGTATTTAGGCAATTCTCACAGTGTCTGGCACATAGTTTGTATTCAATAACCAGTCATAACCAGCAATAGTTGGGAGCAGAAGGGGCCAGAGGGGTGGAACAGTTACTAAAACCAGGCAAGAGCCACAGGTGTGGCTGTGGGTGAGGGCTACCCAACAGAAGCTATGCTGTTCAGCAGAGGAAGGCAGTCAGTACTGACCATTAGCCCAGCAGGGTGAGATTCTGTCATTGGAGCCACTGCCACACCCTCA